TGTGAATGTCACTACTTGACTGTGACAGGCAAAAGGAGTTGAACTAAGAACATTACTTTTTCCAAGGAGCCAAAAATGCCACCCCCACCCCCAGAATATCTATCTATACGCATATATGATTTAAAAATCCACTCTACCTTCCTTGATGCATGTAACTGGTTTTTAAAATACATACACAAACAAATACATACACGTGCATATTTGAAAACTATTGACGAAAATACCTCATCGTTCATTTCTTTTGAGCCATTTCTAGCTCCTTTTGTTTACATGGGTGCATGGTCAGAATCCCATCTTGTAAGACTCTGGCATTCTGTTCTTGAGAAAGTTACCTCTGGATGTCATTTTGCTCTTCTACAAGCTAAAGGTATGCTTCATTACATTTTTGGTCTCATACCATGCGGAAAAAAATTCTAAAAGCTTACTTAAGAGCAGAACATTTTTTATAAACTGTTGAAAGGAAATAGCCTATTAAAGCACAAGGACCTTTATCTCACATGGATTACTCAAATTTTAATGGCACATATGACAGCTAAATTTGTCAGAGTAAAAACAGTTCTTAAAAAAAAAGCAGACACAGTATTGTGAAATGAAGGTTCTTTTGCAAAACATTTAACTAGTTTCATTGTACTTTCAAAGGTATTTTGCCTATACTTTAACATACAAATGCCTAAATTAGCATTTACATTAGTGATTGAACTCAACTCACTTTTCATTACTTCATTCAGAAAACATATACTGAGCATCTATTAGATACCAAGATTTATAATAATAAATAATTTTACAATTCATAATTTATAATACTCAGTTCATTTTAGGTTTATTTTAAATATAAATAATGTATATTAAAATAAGTATTATAAGTAATACTGAGGAAATAAAATAAAAAATGTTTATCAAATGTTAATTGACCGGATTCCAGTTGTCTCTGACAGCCCTCGGTTCTGCATCTTGTGTCCTCAGAGTCACTTCGAGTCGTCTCGCTGCAGCATCTGCACTGCACTGCTCTTCTGTTCTTCGTAGCAGGTTTCTAAGTCTGTCACACACTATGTCAGCATCTCTTCTGTTTTCCTTTTCTTGTTTGAAGGCAAATCTGCAGTTAAATATACTTATTTAAAAATTTGTCTCAAAATGAGTTAATTTTGTGATCTGGCTGTTCATATATTGGTTTCTTATCCTTATAAAATATCTATGTTTTTGACTATTTTTCATTTCTAGTTCTTATATATATAAAATGTCTCACTTTAATATCTTCCAAAGGACATATATACTTAAAAGGGAGCAATGAAAGAATATGCTATAAATTGGTATGTTTCTGTTATTAGTAACTCTGGGAAATATTATGAAAAATTGTTTTTGAAATCATTCAGTGAAGTTACAAGTTGAAAATTAACTTTTTCTCACATATAATT